AAATATTTAAATCAAAACAAGCTGCTGATTATTTCACATTTTACTTGTGAGCAACGGCACATTTAAATCTTACAAATATAGTTATTTGGCTTATATCGTGATGGATATCGTTATCGCCTGAAATGAAAAAAACATATCGTGATATGAAAAAATCTCATATCGCCCAGCTCTACTCTTGGTAGGAGTTCACAGAGGACTTCAGCTTCTTGCAACTGCTCCTGCTGATAGACGTCATTGCTGTCTTCTCCCTCTGCACTGGCTGCTACGTCTTCTTTGTTTCTGCTTTTCTCTTTGTCATGAATGTGAATCAGGCAGCTGTGCTGAAAATATGATTGTTCTCCTTATAATAAAAGCTGGAAGCTGGAAGTCCTGCCTGTGCTGAGACATTTTTTTCATGCATGATCTTCACAGAAATAAACGGCACAGGACAAAGGAAACTGTGGGTGACGTCATCTTTAGCTCATAGAAAAATATATAAAAATATTTGAGTTTATTATTTGCCACATTTATTTTAAGAGTCAATATGAGTGTGGATTGTCACATACATACTTTTGAACCAAACAGCCCAGAATGTGTCATCATTAAAATGACCTTTGTTAAGTTATCAGTAATGTGGACAGCTTAATGTTTCGGCACCTGCATTATTCTCATTTTCATTATCAGACTTTGTTTTGTTGTTGGCTGATTGTTGTAAACTTGTTATAACAGAGGGAAGATCATTCTGGGCAGCAGAAATGAGGAAACGTGAAAATGTGAAGAAGCTGTTGGCAGTATTTCATTAAAGTATCAGATTCATTCATTGAAGTCTGTTCTGGGTTGTTGGGGCCACTTTTTCTTCTCCTGTACAGTCCTACTGCCTCTCTGTCCTCGTCAGATGTTTAGTTTAAGCTCCATTAAGTTGAAATAAAGGTTGAAGTGCTTGAAAGGATTCACCTTGTTTACTCAAGTAAAAGTGAAAAAGTGCAGGCTCTGAAATGTACTGAAAGCAAGATTGTAAAAAGTAGTTCTTGACGGACATTTCTACCACTTTCTTTCCTTTTTGTGGAAACATTGTGCTCTATTAAAATAATAATAATATTAATATAACTTGTACTTGGAAATATATATTTTACTTTGCCTTCACAAACAGTAAAGTGAGTAAAGTGAAGAGTTAAAGTGAGATTTTGCAGGTGCTAATATCCACTCCCTGCACTGACTGCATACTGTTCACACCGTCTTTATACCAGAAACTTCAGCCTGTATAAAGGTTGAATTGGTTTAAGCCTCATCACTGACCATGAGCAGCGTCTCCACTGTGCAACAGTGTAAAACGGTGCTTTACTGTAAATTCACCACAGGTTGCCAGACTAACCTGTAACTGCTTGTATTTGAATAACAAAGTATACATACCTCAGTTTGTTTTGAAAACGTTTGGCAATATAAAAAAACACAACTTCCCATCATATCATCCAGTATCTGAATTTAAATAAAATGAGGATTTGCCAGGTAAACTTTAAATTTCTAGTTAATCAAATACTCCTGAGCAGTGCTCATCTAAATAACCTCTGTTCTCCTGTCCTTGTCTTTCTCCGTCTGAGTGAAGTTCTCTCGCGCTCTTTTCTCAGTTTGTCGGTGTTTGTTGAGCTGATAGAAACTTCTCATTTAAAATGAGCTGTCCTTTAGAAAGAGTTACTCCTTTTATGCTCGCTCCTTTTCTGTAGCGCTGCTAAATGCTATAAAGTACCGAGGCCATGACTCGTGGAAATGTGTTGGAAAAGCCCCTGTGGATTGTCTTTTCTGTGTTTTTATTTCCTCTGTTAGACTCATAC